GCAGAGCGAGCGCGGGCTCAGTCCCGGAGTGGGAGCAGAGCGAGCGCTGGCTCAGTCCCGGAGTGGGAGCACAGCGAGCGCTGGCTCAGTCCCGGAGTGGGAGCACAGCGAGCGCGGGCTCAGTCCCGGAGTGGGAGCAGAGCAAGCGCGGGCCGAGTCCCGGAGTGGGAGCAGAGCGAGCGCGGGCTCAGTCCTGGAGTGAGAGAGAGCAAGCGCGGGCTCAGTCCCGGAGTGGGAGCAGAGCGAGTGCGGGCTCAGTCCTGGATTGGAGCAGAGCGAGTGGTGGACGGAGGCCAGCGCATGGAGGCAGTGTGGCCTCGTGTTCTGAAGCCTGGCAGGCACGGACTCACGTTGGAAAAGGACTAGAACCTGTATAGTCACATTTTATTATCATTCTGGCCTTTTTTTAATCTCTGTAATTCCCATGCTAATCTTTTTTTTCACTATTTCAATACAGTGACAACACTTAAAGTATCTGTACCTCAGTACTCTGTACCTAAGATGGCACCAAGAGACAATATTACAAACTTTTCACTGCATTTATTCGAGTGCATGTGACAATAAAGGCTAATCTATTCTATTCTATTCTTGGCCAGCAGGCTTGGGGTTAAGTCCGTTCTGCTCCAGAGGTGTGTCAGAATGCCTCTGATCAGGTTGATTAAAATATCTAGAAAACAACAGAGGGTGAGGTCCAATCCCAGCTCTACTGAACAGCACAGGGATGAGGAGTTTGCTTTCCTCAAGCTATTAGAAATGCAACTGTACTTTTAGCAGAGTTAGGAAATGTTTTAATAAGAAAAGACATATTGGTTGAAAAATGAATGAAAGATAATTATTATTCCCATTAAACAGCTTTAGCAGCAACTTCCAAAGCCACGCCTCTACCACTTTGAAGTAGAAGGGCAGTAGATACTGGGATAGCAGTATATTGCTATTCCTTCAGTATTGCGGGGTCAAATTCCTGGAATTCTCTTTCTAACAGTAAACCTGGGCCACAGCGATTTAAGAAGACAGTTCATCACCACCTTCTCAAGGGTAGCCAGAGATGGTCAACATATTCTGGCCTAGCCAGCGTTGTTCACATCCCAGGGACAAGTGATTTTAAAATACTGTTCTTGGACAGGATATTGCACAGCAAAGAACAAGGTCAAAATAAGCCCATTTCAATTTGACAGTGACCCAGGTTCCACTATCAAGCTATCATTGTTAAAATGGATAATAAAGCAGAAATCACCCCAGTGTTGGTGCTGTAGCCAATTCCTGGGGAATAATGAGATAACAAGGTGTAGAGCTGGATGAACACAGCAGGCTAAGCAGCATCAGAGGAGCAGGAAAGCTGACGTTTCAGGCCTAGACCCTTCTTCTTTTGTGAAGAAGGGTCTAAGCCCGAAACGTCAGCTTTCCTGTTCCTCTGATGCTGCTTGGCCTGCTGTGTTCATCCAGCTCTACACCTTGTTATCTCAGATTCTC